CCGAAGTACGAAGATCCAATCAAACCACATCTCAAAGGAGCCAAACGCTAACCATCCACGAAATGACCCAATGAAGGAACCCTTGCATCAACAAGATGAAACACTGCAAGGATAAAGGAGACGAGGGAGCTGCATACGCACACGAGGCGACACACCGAAGCCAGATACCAAAGCAAAGCCAAGAAAGTATGACAATAACCAAGACAAACCATGAAGAGGAGATCATCAATATCTAGAGTAGAACCCAATTCCACCTATGAGACTTCTATTGATACACAACCAATGCATTGAGGCAGCTGTTGATACGCAAGAAATCGTTGGAAAAAAGTTAGAAAGGAAACTAAACTGATAGTCGAGGTAAGACAGCTTCAAAACCATCATCTTCACTAGAAAAAAGTCACACTTTAAATCAGCCCCAAGACGACTCTATCATAAGGCCAGAACACGAAGGCAAACACACTAAAACCTCTAGAGAGAGAGGAGAACGAAATTGTACCAACAGATCCAAGATATGCAATAGTTTAAGGTCAACGCAAAGAAGAAACCCGAAGAAGTGACATAAATTTATCCTAACTACTAGCTATAAACTAAACCAATAATCTAAAACAAAAACAAGGCCGAGATTACGAAACCAAGAGGAGGATTAAAGTCATAGCCATCTTTACCAACCAAGACAGAGATCGAAGCAGGACACGAGCAACCACAATCCTTCAAAAGGAACAAAATTCGAGTTTCGATGTCATCCCAGCCGCGAAGAGCAACTACGACCTCCATACTTGACGAGAAAGGTCACAGATGGTGAGGACTCACCTGATCTGGAAGACGGACGAGGAACCCGAGAAACCGGACCACACCCACTTCCAAGAACGAATCAGCTCGTCAAACACCATCGAGATAACCCTATACGGATCTGAATCTGTAACCATCGTGGAGCCACAACCTCTTGGAGTGACTCTCAGAACCAATTTTGGAGATCTATTGGCTGTAAAACGAGTAAAGAGGAGAATAATAACTGAAGACAAGGAGAGAACAAAGGGAGCTGGCACCGGCGCTGTGGAAGCCGCCGACCACCGGTCCGAACCACTGAAAATCGACGACTTGTACTGTAGCGGCGGCTGGACTCCTAGAGAGAAATTAGAGTTTTTTCCAACTAAGCAATTCACTTTACGATTAATTCACTTATTTTTTATTATTTAAATGCTAAAAAAAAGATAAAACGAAGATTATAAATCAAGTATGATTTTTTTTGTTTTTGCTAAAAGACTTTCTTTTTATATATTAGCTCGTTACTCATAATACATTTTATACAAATAGTCGGAGCTGCAAATATGAATCTGGTATCGAAAATGACTGTAGATAATATCATCATATGTTTAAAATATCAAACGACGCTATAAGTGCATTTTTAGCTTATGGTTGTCTGTTTTCTCGTAGTTTTAGACATTTAGTATAAAAAAAGGCGATATATATATATGTTTTTATTTTCTACGTGAGATAGTTTCAGGATATATAAAAAGCATACGAGGTGTGACAAAGGCAAATAAAAATGCTAAACAAGTAATAAAGGATAAAAATGCGAAATAGTTTTTTTTTTTTGCTAAAAGATGCGAAATAGTTTTGCACCGAATTATTATTATTTTCTTACCATACATGTTTCTAGATTTCGTTATCTTTCATGAAATGTAAAACACACATACACTTTTCTAAATAAGCTATGTGTAGCTATTAAAACGCATTGTACAACCGGATTCGGGATCAAATCCAGTGTTTTGTATATATAGTTTTTCATACAATTTATATATCCAAAAAGGTTGTCTAAAAACACTAACCAACAAATATGAAAAACACAACTAATATTACTTTCAGATATTAACAAAATGCGATATTTCGTAGTATAAAAATGATTTGATATAAATGGGTCGACTTTGAAAAGCTACATCAAATCATTCCCCACGTTCGCTTTGTTATCCTACTATTTTGCTATAATTGCAAATTATGAATCATCGCATGTCACTTGCCCTTTTTCTTTTTTTTATACAAAGGAATAAATATTATTTATACACACATCACGTTCAGTTTTGTCCTTTTTGACTCTAACAGATATTTATAATATATTCGCTTTTGCTGCTTATTGGAGAATGAAATAGGCGTTTGTTTTCTTCTTGTTGATTTTATTAGGAGTTATCTCAGTCGTTCAAAAATGACAAGAATTTGATGGGCTGAAGAATATCCGAAGGCTAATATATAACTAATAAAGGAGTTGGACATTATTTATATATTAGACCATTGTTGTCTAAACTTCCGATGTGAGACTTGGATTGATATCCCAACACCGATGACCTGATGCAATCAAGATGATCAGTTAATAAGTGCCCGACGACATTAGAATCAGTCGATACTAAGTTCTTATTACGTCGTACAATACTAACCGGTGTCTAAGATTTTATTTTAAAGCAAAACTATTTTTTCCAGGATTATAATTAACTTATAAGCTTACTGATTTTTCATATGATATACGCAAATTAGCAATCTTCCTTCTATTTCTATATATGATTTTTCAGGATTACAAGTAACAGTCTTCACTTGTCTCTCTTACAAAATTAAGTGGAGAAGTTGGTGAGAAATGTTGGAGACATTGTCTCTACAATGGATACATAAAAAAAAGGCTGTTCTCAGTGTCTCTCCACCACCATCTCAACCGGCAAAAGATTTAGCCACATAAACACCAGAAACAGGAACGGTAAAGGCAAACAAAGCTTGCTCTACAAGATGGTGTATTCAGGTTCGTGATCTCATATTTTTATGCGGGGGATTTAATGGAGACTCTGGAGTGGCGGTGGTTTGATAACTTGTTCTTTGCAATCAAAGTGAAGGATTCTCTAATTTTTTAAAAAGTTAACTTAGTTAATTAGTAATAGGTGCATCGCAGCCAAAAAAGTTTGGGTTGTGAAGAAATTAGGAACCAAGTGGCATACCCGGAATCCAAACATACCAAACATGCACGTTTGTGGCCCTCTAAAAACCAGGACCGGTTTATATACAAAGTGGCTTATTTTTTATAAAAATCTGCAAAACGGATTTTTTCTTCTCTACCTTGGAGTCTTCCTAAACTTATGACTAATTTGATGAGGTTCAGAATTAGTGATACTGCTCATTTCATTTTTGAGAAGTGATTCTGTAGAGAATTAAATGAAAAATGCATAGAGGAGAGATGGTTAATGTACTTGAAATGCAAAGAACTTTTAAGATAGTAAAAAAGGACAAATCAAATCACACACTAGCCCAAAAGACCTATCCGGCCCATGAAGAAGTATAACACACACACTAAAATCGCTTGTACCAAAAAAATCCGTTTTTATATTAGTTGGTTTAACCTTTTCTTACATCGCTTATTTAACCTTTTATTATGCCAGCTAGTTTATCAAACCTGTAATACATCTAGGTTACTGATTAGATTTAATTCGGATTAATTTCTAAATTTCTAAACAAATTTGACCATTGAACGAAAATATAGGAAACATGTAAGAAAATCTAAAAGAATTATAATTTTGATTATTCAAAACTTGAAATTCATCAGTTCATCAATCAAATAAACTTAAAAGAAACTTTAACCGTAATTTAAAATTTGAAAGAGTATAATTGTTAAGAAATAGGAAATGTTTATACAATAGCCTGATCATTATATCGATGTAATCTAATTCTAATATTAGTTTTGGTACATGACAATAATTCAAGAGATGTGACCAAAAAAAAAGAACACAATGAACTCTAATGAAAACCGGTTTGATTGTTCCTCAAATTCTGAGGTGGACAACCGCTAAACCATTGACGCGGTAAAGCTTTTATCAGTCTCCGATCTTT